GCCGCCATCGGGGGCGGAACCGGGCGGCCGGGCCTCCGCGGCGCCCTCGGGCAGGATGGGCCCTCGCCGGACGGCCCGCCGGCCCTGCCTCTGGGCGCGGGAGGCCTGGGCGTGGGGTCTGCAGCCGAGGTGGTTGGGGTGCCGCAAGGCTTCGGAAGGAAATGTTGGCGCAGAGACCGGCGCCCCTGGCCTGACCTCTCGCTGGCCCTTGGTGGGGGCGCAGGGAGGCGACACGCCTGTGTCCTGCAGGCCCGGGGCCAGCACCGGGCCGGAGGAACCGGGAGCCAGCGGCGACATCAGCAGCAGCCACGGAGACGTGGCGAGGCGCGAGGCGTGCCAGGCCCGGCAACGGCCCTCAGCATGATGTCACTGCTGCCCTGTGGCGCGAGGCTGGTCCTGTCACCGAGTGACGGTCAGCGCACGAGGGGACAGGCAGCGGGCTGACACCTGGCCGGTGGGGGCCCGTCCCTTCATGCCAATCCATCTGGGAAACCCTGCACCTCAGCCTGCGCCGCACGGCAGTGTGCCCCCACCCCCGCCCCCCTGCTCTGGGCACAGCGCACTCGCTCTCTGGCCCCAGGGCGAAGCCGGGCCGGCACAGGGGCCAGGGAGGCGGCCGAGGGGCACGTGTGTGTATACAGGCCCGCGCGGGCGGAGACGGTGCGGGGGAGCCAGGGCTCCAGCCCACAGAAGCAGGGCCAGGCGGTGGCACTGGGCGTGCAGAGGGTTGAGCAGGCTGCCTTGACAGCTGGCACTGCTGCTGAGCAGCTCTGGAGGGATGCGCGCTGGAGGGATGCGTGCAGGGCTGGAACCTCACGCTGCTTGCCTTCTGTGGTGGTAAGGGTTGACCCACACAGCTCAAAGGAGTGTGGGCCGTCGAGCTCCTTCCACCACCTTCCAGGGTTGATTCTGGTCAGCCACTGCCTGTGCTCTCTGCCCTGCCCCATGGGCATCGCTAGAAGGATCAGGCCTCAGGCTGAGGACAGAGACAGGTGCAGAGGCACCAGAAACGGGCACATCATGGGGTCGGTGGCCTTGTTCACTTGCTGCTGAGAGCCTCTGTCATCTGGAGACCAGGAACCCCCGCCTCATTTGGAGGGGAAAGCCATGGGTGCAGTGTCATTGGGACTGATGCGAGGGGCCACCTGCAATGCCCAGCCAGCAGGTCAGTTCACAGCTGGCCTCTGGGCTTGGAGACTCCTGCCTTTAAAACAGCCTGCGTGTCTTGTTCTGTTGCCGTGCTGCCTGGCTCCAGTCTGGGGGTCTCTGTGCAGTCACTGTCAGATGGATCTGTCTGGGAGGTGTCCTGTTAAGCCAGAACTTCCCGTCTCTGCTCCCTCAACAGTGGTAGCCCTTCCTTTGGGGTGGGAGAAAACCAGTCTTACACTGAGTGAACTAGGGTCCCTAGCAGAAGATCTCAGCCAGAGTAGGGTGGCCTGTGAACCAACTGCCCTCCCACCCGCCCAGTGGTGATTCTAGGGGACACGGGGACTCGCTGCCTGGGCCATGAGGTAGTGCCTCCTGGCCAGCCTCTGAGGGCAGCTCTGGCTGCGTGAACCACATTCCTGGGCTGTCTCCTGTCCCCACCTAGGTGCCTGCCTGCCCGCCCTCCAGCAGGTTGGTGCTGCTTGGGAGGCAGCAGCTGGTTCCCAGTGGCCCTGGGATGAGGGGATGTGAGCTGTGGAGGGCTGGCTGACCATGACCTTGCAGCCCCTCCTGGCATGTCTCTCGTGACCTGGGCGCGTGCACATGGTGAGGTAGGGTGGGAGGAATGTGGTGGAGGAGCCTGGGCTTCCCTCCCATCTTCCGACAGCTCGACCTGGGTGGGGCGGCCTGCTGTAGAAACCAGGGGACATGGAGGCGGTGGGGTGCAAGGAGGGCAAGGGGATGCAGAAGGGGTAGCAGGGCTGGAGGAGGAATCCTTGCACAGCGTCTAAGGTTGTGTGTGTGGGGACACTGGACAGCATGTAAGGGGTGTGTGTAAGAGCCTCCTGGGGGGATGGGGTGAGATATCCTTGACCAGATTGACGAGGGAGTGTGCACACACCTGCTGGGGTAGTGTCAAGGGATCTTTGCAGAGTGTGTAAGGAGTATATGCGACCAGCACCTGCAGGGATGGAGGGAGGATCCTTGTGCAGAGTGCGTGGCAGTCATGCAGGTTTGCGTGCGTGCAGCCCCCAGGGACAGTCCCCTCGCCTCTCCCCGTGGTGCCTGATGACCTTGTTGGCCTTCCCCAGATGTTGGTGTTGACAGCCTGCAGACACACTGGCCCAGCTGCACCTGCCTTCTGGCATTCGGGGCTAAGGTCCTTTGAGCAGCTGCAGAGGGATAGGGCCCCAGTTTCGCGCTCAGCTAGGTGGATGTCAGGGGCCTTGTGCCTTTGTGACACACAAGTGCTCAGCTGGACTGGTCTTGTCCTCTCCCTCTGTCTGCTTGGGCGGTGGTGGTGTGACTGAGGCCACACGATTTCAGTGATGGACGAAGGCTTTGGGGAGGGACACAGAAGACCAGGAGTGAGGTGCCTGGGCACGTGGGGAGGCACGTTGATCACCGTGATTGCTCTGTGGCCGGCTCATGCGTGAGGAGCTGACTTCTCGCTCTTGTACTCATCCCGGAAGGCCTGCAGCTGCCCCCGCAACCACAGTGGAGCGGTTCCCGCAGGGCCCCTGAAGCCCACTGGTGTCCATGGAGAGGCTCTTGTCCCTGTGGGCCCTGGTGAGCTTGCCGTAGGGCCAGGGAGTGTGGGCATCCTTGGGGCAGCGGTGTGCTGGGCTGTGCCCACTTCCTGTGGAGCAGATGACTGCCACCTGGAGCCCGCCTGCCTCCCTGCCTGCACGGGGCGGTGTTCATGCCCCCTCTTTCCTCCGCCTGCTGCCCTGTGTAGGCTCTGGGTGGGTGCCCTTCAGGGTGATCTCTGCGGTTGTCTGAGCAGGCGATATGAGTGTATGTCAGCCAGGTGCCCTGGGCAGTGTGTGTGTGTGACTGCATGTGTGTCTGCTGGGTGTTAACGTGTGTGTGCACGTGTGCTCGCCTGAGTGCTGGTGTGTGCTGTTTGTTCTGTGTGCGTGTGTGCAGATGGTGACTCCAGACACCTGTCTGTCTGTTGCTCCCACCCTGTGGGGACCAGGCCGGCGGCTGCTCTGTGCAGTGGCCGTGGGGGAGGCAGGGCCGGAAGCTGAGGGCTGTGAGTCACGCTGAGCCGGCCTCCGCCTGGCTGCAGCCACAGGTGTCTTTTGGGCCTGGCTCTGCCATGATGCTGGGGGCCCTTTCAGGAGGCTCCCTGAGACTGTGCTGGCCTCACTGTCCCGGTTGTCCATCTTGGTCCTGGTAGCTGGGCATGGGGTGACTCCCTGAGCCTGGTGTGAGGCCTGGGACAGTGGCCATGCAGGAGTGGTGGCCTCCACCTGGCACACTGACCATGTCATTAGGGGCCACCCTTAGGTGTCTGACAGTCCTGTGGTCAGAGCATGACAGTCCCAGCTGCCCACAGCCATACCCCCTGTGGCACAGCCATAGGGCTCTGGGCTTCACAACACCCCACCTCCAGGTCCTGGGATGAGCCTATGGTCCTGGGTGTGTCTGCATGGTTTTAAGCATTAGGGACAGGAAGGTGTCCTCCTTGGGCCAGCATTAGGACATCCGTCCTGCTTCAGCTGTCCCGGGGTCTGTGGTACCCAGGGGCCTTGTCTCAGAGGCCAGATGAGGGCCAAGTGAAGGCACTGTACCTGATCCCAGGAGACCACCTGTTGGACTTTCCTGATGAGTAGGGATACAGGAGAGGAAGGGCACCCTGACGCCTGCTCTTGTCCTCAGGGAGTGGGGAAGGCCAGGGCCAGATCCTGCAGCGCTTTCCAGAGAAGGACTGGGAAGACAACCCATTTCCCCAGGGAGTCGAGCTGGTGAGTGGGGAGAGTGCCCGAGGGGGCGGGGGGCTGGAGGAGGGTGCCCGACGGGGTGGGGGGGCTGGAGGAGTGTCCCCTATGGGATAGAGGCCTAGGAGAAAGTGTTTTATGGGGTAGGGGTGGAGGAAGGTGCCCTAGGGGGTGGAGGGATGGGGGCGGGTGTTCTGTGGGATCAAGGGCTCAGAGAGTGCACCCTGTAGGGTGAGGGACTTTGGAAGGGTGCTCCCAGGTAAGGCTGGAGTTAGCATAGTTTTCCTAGGGTGTTTACTTGGGGGTGCTTTTGGGGAGATGGTGCCCATTGCTCTGCTCGCCCATGACTGTTGGAAACTCAGCTGTACCCTTGCTGGTCTAAGGTGACAGGACCCTTGCAGCCCACCCTCCACTTCATGCTGGTTGTGGGTGCTGCCCCAGAGGGATCCAAGCACCTGGGTTCCAGCGTGGTCCTGGCAGCAGAGTCAAGTGGATGGAGGGGCTAACCATCGGCCCCCCTTGCAGTTCTGCCAGCCCAGTGGGTGGCAACTGTGTGCAGAGCGCAACCCCCCGACCTTCTTTGTCGCCGTCCTCACCGACATCAACTCCGAACGTCATTATTGCGCCTGCCTGACCTTCTGGGAGCCCGCAGAGCCTGGCCAGGTCAGAGGTGGCCACAGGCTACCAGGCCTCCCTCTCCTGCTGTCCCCTCCCCACAGCTGGGTGGCGGTTGGGTGGGGTCACCTGCGGGAGCCTGGTCAGCGCCTTCCGTGCTCAGGACGCTGCTTGTGCTGACGAAATCGTGGCCAGTGAAGAGGCTGCAGAGGATGGTGACCCCGTGCGACCATCACCTGCATCCGCTGGCCAGCTATTTGCCCCAAAGACTCTGGTGCTGGTGTCCAGGCTGGACCACACAGAGGTGTTCAGGGTGAGTGGTGGTCAGTGGAGCAGGGCAGGGTGGGGGCCTTCTCTGGACACCATCTCGACTCCCCAACTGTGCTCATTGCAGAACAGTCTGGGGCTCATCTACACAGTCCATGTTGAGGGTCTGAGCGTGTCACTGGAGAGCGTCATTGGGAACCTGCTGACCTGCACCATTCCCCTCACTGGGGGCTCCCAGGTGGGTCTCAGGTGCAGCTTCGCAGGCCCAGACACACGCAGGCCCATGTCCACACAGGTCCAGGTCCAGGCCCACACAGGCCCATGGCCACGCAGGCCCACGTCCACGCAGGTCCATGTCCACATGGCCTCTCCTGGACCTGGTGACTTTCACTTGTATTCTCTTGCTCAGTGTGTCTGCCCACTCTCTGGGTGTCAGGGTCCAGCTGTCTCTGTCCCTCCCTGTGTCCCCATCCATTCTGTGTGTGACCAGCCGTGTAACTGTGTGTCTCTCTATCTGTCTGTCTGTCCTGTGCAGCTGGATTCTGTTGAGGAAGGAGCGGTACGGACTCTTTCATTGTTCCCCCCACCTGGGGCCCCGTCCTGCCTGCGTCCTGGCTGGCCCACCTTGGGCTCTGTGGGCGAGGGGCCCCGGCCCCCTTTGGCTGGGACTTCTGGGTCCTGACTGTCCTCTCTTCTGCAGAGAACCATCTCTCTGGGTGCAGGTGACCGGCAAGTCATCCAGACCCCGCTCACCGACTCCCTGCCCGTCAGCTGCTGCAGTGTGGCCCTGCTCTTCCGCCAGCTTGGTGAGCGAGGCCCTGGGCCTTAGGTGGGGGCTCCTCTCAGTGCAGTCTGGAGCGCCTCTCCGAGCTTGCCTCTCCCTCGGCATCACCCCTGTGCTCCCCTCTCCTTCGGGCATCACCCCCGTGCTGCCCCCTCCTGCAGGCATCACCCCCGTGCTCCCCCCTCCTGCAGGCATCACCCCCGTGCTCCCCCCTCCT